CATGTTTAACAAAAAATCCTATTAGATATAGCTTTAAACTGCACCATAAACACATTTTTGAAAGATGACAGTACAAAACCAATCCTTCATACAACACAACCAAGCTGTCCAGGCTGAATTAATCTCAGTAACATAATCCCTCATGATGTTATACTCGTGTCTTAATTACGAATAATGACCTGGTAGAATTCATCTTATTCTCTTTCATTCCATAAAGGTCATCTGATCTTTGGCATCGAAATCGCAAGGTATTATTTCCCTTGACCTGAAGATGACCTGAAATGAATATGCCTAAAATTGTCTCAAACTTCCATTAGTGAATCCAGGACTTTGTGTAGTGTAGGTTCTGCTGCTTGCAAAGCTTAGAGAATTCAGACAAAAATGTCCCCCTTTGGAGCAAATCAGATGCTAAAACTGGCTGCTTGATTCGTTTTTTGTCATCTATTGGGCCGGCTCATTTCAATACGTTATTTTTAAATAGAGTGAAAAAATAATGTTAAAAATAATCCTGTTATACCATGTTAAATATTGAGTGTATAAATAAATGATCAAGGTGACAACACATATTTTCTCAAACTAACTTCAACCATTTCAAATTATACATAACTAAAAGTATCAAGAGTGCCAAAGAAAATGCAGATTTGGCAATTTATTTAAAGCTAATAAACAAAAGAAAGAGGAAACCAAAACATAGCGATCGACAACAGAATACAAAGGATGGGGAGGAAGACAGGTGGGCCTGTGGAGATATGGCTGGAGGGAAAGAGAATAGGTCATCTGCCCAACCCCCTTATTTTTCATTAATTCCCATGCTTCCACTTTTGGAACAGATAACTTGCAGACAAACCCTGGAGGTCATTATGATTGCTAAAGACAAAGAGTGCTTCAGTCTCTCTCAGACATGAAAATCTTATGTTGGGAGAGTGGTTGCCTAAAGCCTTGGCTTGTGTTCATAGCAATTCAGTAGCTAAAATCCCACCAGAGTATGCTCCTCTGCAGCTCACCATCTCCTTTCCACAGAACACTTTGCTCCTTGAAGCAATCAAACCATCTGTCTTCACTACAAATTTAACAGAGAAGAGAAACAACCACAAAAAAGGGCTCCTAAATCATTCTTTAACTTTGCATCTGTTTGCCTCATGTAATTCTGTGTGTTTACCATGTGGAAAAAAGTTATAGAAAGATTCATACAGCTGCTCAATTACGTGGATTGAAAATACACGGGAAGGGCGTATTCAATCATTTAATCAGCAGCTAATCATAATTAATATCACAGGCTGACACCTGCAGCAGAGCAGCAGGCTCTGAACACAAGTGTCGAGCTTTGAGGCAACGCATTACCGCTCTTTACACACCGCCAACAGTTGACTGTTGAGGAGGATAATTAAGCATCCTGTAAACAAAAGCAAGTCATAAATGCAGCAATAATCTCACATGTTTACAATAATTACATCTCACAGTGAGGCCTTGAATCGATCTTAGACTGCTGCACTTACCGCTCTAACCGGAGTTACTGTTTAACGAGAGCTGAGATAAACAGAGGAAGGACCACTCAGTCCCTCTTTCTAATGAACCTCATTTAAGTGAACAGACACTCTAAAGAAATGTATTTATCCCCAAAAAGTATGAAGGCTTCGAACTACGTTCTATGTGCTTTGTTAAAACAGAACAGATTTTGAATACTTTAGGTGCTGTTCAAACCCAAAAGTATTAGAAACAGCATGACAAAGCTTTCAAAACCACCTAAACTTGGCACCGAACAAAAAAGCAAATACAGAGAGAGAATGGATGGAAGCAAGTCATGAAAATTATATAAAGGAGCTCAGATTTATGTTAACACAATGAAAAAAAGATTAACGCAACTCTATCATTTGCTATGAATGAAAATGTGAAGACACAGCTATCAGTGTAATGACTAAATGTAAAAAAGCTTACCTTGGAGTATTGTCTACGAAGACTGAAGCGCTGCACCATCCTCACTGACTGACAGATCCACAGCTGGATCCCCTAATCTACTCTTCTCTGCTGATACCCCTCCAAAGTACACAGTGCCTCATATAGAACACTCCACATTCACACACACATGCTGAAGGCAGACACACTACCCTCCTCTCCAAACAGCCATGTGCACACACTTTTCTAGTCCATGCTGCTTTCCTCTACTATGCAAACACAAGTGAGGAGAGGGGGATAAAAGGAGGGAGATGAAAAAGGGAGGGAGCCAAGAAGAGATAGACTACTCAGCTGTGTTGCCCTCCACTCACATTCACAGCAAAGGGAGCCAAATCATACTCACACGGTTACAGTCACTCCCACACACGACTGTCAATGCACAAATGGCTTTCAGCAACTACACAGGCACACCGAGTGTCTGGAACCCAGATGAAAACAAGATCCTGCATTCGCACACATGCACGCCCCATAACATCCTCTGTGAAGGAGGACCGTACAACACATTGACACACAGCTAGACCCAGTTCTCAAACAGCTAGATGAGGCAATGTTGCCTACTGCTTCCTGTCAGAGAGCCGAAGGGTGGGGTGAGAAGGAGGAGGTGCCGGTAGAAATTGAGGAGAGGGAGGAGGGGGAGTTGGGAGAGGAGGAGGGCCCAGCTGACTGACTGTACTCATTTTTTCTAGGGATAGTGGGAGTTGAGACAGTGAGGAAAATACAGACGAATAGAGCGAAAGGTCAGTGAAGCCAAAGGTGGTGAAAAGAAATTGGAGGAAGAAAGAGAAAAGGAGAGAAAGAAGGGGATGAAAGAAGCAAGTAGAACAGAAACTCTGATAGAAAGACAGAGGACAGGAAGAATTGACAAAAGAAAAGACAAAGAAAGGGGCTAAAGGAAGAAGGAGGAAAAGAATGAAAGAAGAGGTAAAGGAAGCAAGGAGAAAAACAAAGTCCAACAGAATGAAAGAAGCAGGTGGAGGGAGCAAGGATAAAGGGAAAGAGAAAAAAGGGCCTGAAGGAAGCATGGAGAAAAAGAATAAGAAAACGGGCAGAAAATAATAGCCTGAAAGAATTCGGCTTTATCCACTCAACAGATCTAACTCCTGATGCCCGATTTCACACATGCTACAACCCTACCTCAGCTAGCAGCACGATGTCATACCTACAAGGTCAACCATGGTGTTTCTATGGCAACGCAACCAGGGCATACATGCTGGCAGCTTCAGGGTAACCACGGCGACCGTTTGGATTTCGGTAATGCCGACGCTCTGTTTTCTGTGCCGAGACATATCTGTGATGTTAGAGATGAACAAAGCAGGTCCTGGTCCCAGCTGGGGGCCACAGACGGAGCTCAGAGACGTCCACGCTCGTCTGAGGCAGCAGCAAGACTAATGGAGCACACATGTCTGGCTCCCGGTCAGCTCAGCTGAGGTCATTCACACAGGACTGACAGATAGCTGCTTTGATAGATGAGGAGTAGGGAGAGAACCCCATCAAATCCAGCTCAGAGGGTGAAACTTCAATGTGGGTATCAATAAAGCTGGTCAAGATTTTCTATTCACTGCCGGATCGATCCTGCAAAATCATTTTAACTCTGACATGCCGATACCATGTCCTTGACACAGCTGATTTAATTAACCTCAGACCGTCTACAACAAACATGAGGTCATAATGCAAACACCACCTCCACGTGAACCAGGCCCAGTGCTGCTCCCAGCAGGGAGGCTGGTCTGACAGCGCCCTCTGCTGGAGGACAGAGCTCACTGTCATTTAGGATACTGACCCTGGTAGAAATATGGACACTGGAGGAAATGTTTTTTTTGTTTTTTTAAAAGACACTGAACTTCTCCTCATTCCTTTTGGATTACCACACCGCTCTGTCAGATAAAGTCCCTGCAGACTGTATGTTCAATAAAAAAGTCTAGAAGCTGGTGACCGTAAATAATGTGTCCTCTGCAGCGGTGGGAATGCATGCTCTTATCCTCCTGACTTGGTCATGATGAAAGCTGTTTTTTTCTTTGATAGTTGTCATGACTATGCTTGAGGAAAGTCTGGAAATGTTCTGAACTGACTGACCTTCATCTGTCTTGTAAGGAAAGACAGAGATGATTTTTCTTAAACTCAACATTAAATCAGGCTTACTGACAACCATAGCAGATTACTACCTAATAATGAAGATTAAGATGCCAAGAATTAATAAATGACTATTGTACTTTGAATAATTTATATATGTGACTAAATTATTTGAATGTCCTTAATATTGTCTTAACCTATGAAAAGAATGAAGAATAAAGCCTGGAAGGATATGAATATGAAAATGAAGTGTGTACTGACTGGAAAAATAAATTTTTCAACATTTAAAAATAACAACCATATTACAATTAGCAAACAAAATGTTAAAACATTTCAACCCCGATGACTCAGTAACTCGTAATGTGCTGGAACTATTTGTTATTAATATATCCCATTTTCATGTGGATCCATTCTTTGTAATGGGGTTTCCCCTTTACCAATTAAGTCAAGCTGCTGGTAAGTTAAAGTGTTTTGTTTGTTGATAAAGTTAATGTCATATAATATTAGCTAAAACAAAGAAGGAAAGCGGAGCAAAACTGTAGTTCCTGTGTGTGACTACGAAAAAACCGTGGAATATTTTTTTGGAATGTCTGACGACATTGTCTATCACATTCCGTTCCTGTGGAGGGAAAATGAATTCTTCCAGCATGTAAAAACCAGTAATTACACTCTAATGGAAATATCACCTTTTTTTTATCCATTAAAAAAAGGAAAGTCCTCTTATACTGTGTGTTTATACGGTGTGAGCATATGGACACCTGGGTGCAGATTATCTTAATGCTGTTCGGCAAAAAAAGAAAAGTATTTCCGATGATGGACTTAAATTAATTAAACCACAGGGCTGAAACAAACGGAAATGCTAATGTACGTCAGCATCATGGTGAACCTCAGTTTTTGAACGACAGCCCTCGGGCAAAGAAAGTTTCACTTAGTTAAAACAGACACACTGATCAACGTGTGTGGAGGGGATGGCTTACCCTGTCTGTTTCCTCTGTTGACTGGTACCCGGATGAGAGGCCCAGGTCGGTGCCCGTGTGCCCGGGGATGGGACTGCTGGGGGTGGTGTCAGTGGTGGAGGAGGAGCGTGGGCGGCTGGTGTGCTGCTGTGGGTCATGGGTATGGCGGCGGTGCGGGGCCTGAGGGCTACCTCTTATGAGGGGATCTCGGTCTCCGCTCCCTGAGCCGGAGCCCTTACTGCGCCGGCTCTGCAGGCTGGTCCCACGCCTCATCATGCCTGCAGCAGCTGAGCGCTGAGCAGCTGCAGGGGGAACCATAGGAGCAGAGAGGCGGTCAGAGTCAGGACAGCTGGACCCCAAGGAGTCCTCAAGGGCAGAGGGGGGGGTGCCACCTGCTGACACCACAGAGGAAGACGAGGAGGAAGATGATGAGGGGATGGTGGAGCGAGAGAGGGAGAGGCGTTTGCGCTGCTGGAACAGCTGCTTCAAGCCCTGGCCCAGAACCCCCATGCCCTCCCTGGCGTTTTGGCTCATTTTACTGAGAGACGGGTGCTGTGCCTGAGAGGAAGCCCTCCTCAGACCTGGGCCATTCGGGGCCCCTGTAACTCCTACAGCGCCAGGATCTGAGCTGCGGCTCACCCTCAAAGGCTCCCTTTGACTCTTCTCCCCCGGCTGCATTTGGCCTGCTGACACCACATATATGTGTGTCTATATATTCTTGTGTGTCTGGGGGACGAATTATCCAGTCAAACTGCCCCTTATGCCTCCCTATATTTTCAGGCATACAAAGGCTCAGTCTGCGTCAACAACTGAGAATATAAAAGTGCAGCGGAGTACAGTGGAAGTGGAGCTGGGACTGTCTGATGGAGGATTGGATCAGCTCATTCGTGCTCAGAGGGATGAATCCAAATTGGGAGCATGCATCTTTGACTCAGGAACAAGTAGCCATGCTGGTCTGACACAGAGAGAGAGGAGACGGATTATGAGAGGCTCAATTATCACCTATATCCACTGTTCATCACAAATTGTCACCCCAACTTCTGAGACAGCAATACTCCAAATCCATCAGTTTTCAAATATACTACGGTTTCACTTCCAAATAAAGGTCAGCAAGCAGGACCCAATCAGGGTAAGAAGAGACAAATATCATGAAGGACGTATGAAGTAAACACATAAACTATTTATGTGCAGCTAGTCTGGAGAGGGATTTAGTCAGAAAAACATCTTTAGAGAAGAAAAAGGAGAAAAGAGAGGAGAATGTGGACAAACACTAATACCTATACTTTTGTTGGGACAAAACTACTAAGACGTTTTGTGAGTGCTCTTACCGTCAGGTCAAGTGTCATCATAGTGTAACTCGTTCTTCGGGAGTACCTGTCAGCAAAGAAAGAATGAGAAACAGAACATTGTTAAGATGAGAAAAATGTCATCAGCCATCATCACTGCACCAACCGACCAAAAGATACTCAAGAGGTTTTCGGCCCCTCTTTAGATCCTAAAATATGAACCAGCTCCTTACTGTAAATACAGGGCATGTTGGGGAGCATAGGTAATTGTGTGGATTTGTTCCATGGATTTGATTAAATGCCACCAATCTAAACATTATACGAGACCTACCAATGAGTATTTTGCCATGACAACGGCAACTGCTGGTCGGCTCCTTCCCCATTAGGACAGCATGCCCCTCCACACCGCGTGAACACCTCATGTACAGCTGGTGCAATTTGACAAAAAGCCCACAGGATGTGCACAGCTTTGAAACAGGCTACAAGCATCAGAGATATCCAACTAAACAAGCAAACCAGACGCCCACATGACCGAAATCATATGATGCCAATACCTAGTCAATGTCCCTCGTCTTATTTTGGTAAAAGGAGATAGATCTAGACACTGTTAGGCTGGTTGTTATGGCTGATCAGTATGTGTTTGCATATGCATGTGCTCCCTCTGGAGCTAATTTACTATCCCCAGAGGCAATCCTTCCTTAACCTGCAGCATTTTCATGAGGCAAGGGTTTCCACTGGAAATGGCCAACAGTGTAGTACCATTAACAAAAATGACACAATCTCTTCCTGCATGAACACTGCCAGTTCTGAGGTGGCTACACCAGTAAAATAGACACCAGAGAAAAACAGAAGGTGACTGCCTTAAGAAGCAACTTTATCGGTGCAACTGATTAGCTCATGGAGAACTCCCAGCCTACTGGCAGGAAGTCAGCTCAAACCTCCTGCAGCATCAATAGCAGCTCCCATTCAGGAAAGCCCTTGGGAAAGACACCCTTAAAATGTATTCCTTAAACTGCACACAGAACAGACAGAGGACGATGTAGAAGCTGCTCTCAGCTCTAAATGTTTCTATCTCTATAATTAAATGCAACACTGTCCCTTTCACAAAAATCTGAGCATAAACGCAGTTTATTAGCATGGCGGCCTCTACTGTCTGCACAGTCAACTCTTAAATAATCTTTAATAGTAAATAATCCTTAGCAGGCAGCTACAAGTCCATAGAAAATGTGTCAAATTAACAGTTAAGAGGGTAGTTATTAGTTAAAATGATCATTAACTGCAGATCTTCTGAACAATGCTTTGTGCTTACAAAAAGCTATGTAGCAAACAAACAGCAGCAATCACATTCCTCAATGCCAGCTCCTCCCTAAGCATTTTACAAATATAATTTCAGGGATACAGCATATTTATATTGCAAATTCAACTAGTTCAGTGCAATGCAAACACTGGCTTCATTATTCAAATCCAGATCTCAGTCATTACCAGATCCAGATCTCAGTCATTACCCTCACACGGATAAAATTGGAAGTGTCCTTTTTCTCCACTTGTTTAAAGGAATCTATCATATCACATGTGTTCACATGTTCCATCTAATTCTCTCTGTAAAGAAGCTCTTCTGGTAAAACTTACATCATAGTGACAACCAGTCATTTGTGTAAATGAAACATAATCAAAATGCAGCATGCACCAAGGACTGACAACATTAGATGACAGTGAAGAGTCACTCATGATTAAAGGACGTGTTATTCAGTCAGTGAACAGGCACATAAGTTCATCCTACACTTACCCACTCCCGTACCCAGCCCTCCCTTTGTTTCAGTAAATCCTCTCCCTTATCCCGAGGCTGATCCCTATGCTGCTTTGAATGTTTTCTTGATTGCCTGTGGTTTTATATTCCGTCCAAATCCTCTTTGAAAAGCCTCTGTAGGACATTGCTTCATTGTCAGACTTTGTATGCGTGTCTGCATCTTTGGTGGATGACCCACCTTGCTGAAGTGATGACACACTGAGCCAGCACCAGATGGACCTTAAATGACAAATGTCCCATTCCTACCGAACCACATCATTTCAGGACATACTCCCTTATGGAAAATGCCATACAGTTTGTTGTTGTACAGCTCTGTTATCATTCTGTGTCTAAATAAGGATTTTCTTAATTGTTAAAAAGCCCAGAAAATATTGCTCATAGTGTTTATAAAATATTAGTTTAATGTGTTGGCCTGAAGAAACAATGTAATGTAATTTGAAAATGTTTTTAAACTATTTTCTGTACACATGGAGCAACACGTAAACCAGCAGGAAACATAATGTGCATTATGATTAACTATCCCGCCTCCACCAGACGGCTCAGTGAGCATCAGTGTCAGAGGGTTGATGGCCTCTGTGACTCAGCAGGATTCTCAGAAATTTCACAATCCCGTCAGAGGTAAGCGACACATGACCAAATGGACAACGTCCTCTCTGGAGCTGTGTCATCTTCATTTAATCCCTTGAACAAATACCCATGCACTCATCCCTGTTCAGAACTCACAATCTCATTCCATTAGGCTCCAAGCTGCCAGTTGCCCTGCTTTCATCTTTCATTTTGCATTTGGTCTGACACATTTGGAAAAGGGAAAATATATATTTAAGATTAAGTTCTATTCAAAATAAATCAACAAACTATTTATAGTTAAAACAAACTTTTTCAGGTTAGTTCAGATCCATTAATAACTACCACTCTTACTTCAATCTCCTCTTGAGTTCTCAAGATAGAACATAAAAATGGCTTTATCTAACAAAAGAAGTCCCATTGATATACATTTTAAATTTGAATTACTGAACAAGGTAGGTAAGAAGACCAAACAGTGAAGGTTTCAGGCATCATAACTACATAGCATGTCATTTCCATGCAAACTTATCAAAAAGTATTTTGTCTAATTGTCAGCTCTAATTCATTCTACCCTGGCATGACCACCACACAATGGAGGTTAATCTGGCCTGTGCTCTCTGACCCTGAAGTAGCCATGTTGCTGCTCACTGCTAAACAAAAAGTTTCAATCAAAATATGGACACAGCTTAAACAAGCCACCACAGTGTTTCCAGAAGAGCCTGCGAGCTGGCATGGAATAGAGCGCTCTTTGTTTCCTCTGAGCCACACACAGGCCCATCGCTGCTCTTTGTGCTGGGCCTCTTTCACTGACAGACACACATCAATAAGAGCGGAATTAGGCCAGAGAGTTCTGTCGGTTACATTTCTGTTTGAGCGCATGCCAGGCATATGTGTGTGTTTGTTATGTAGATTCACAAAAAAAAGAGAATACGCAAACAGATGTAGTGGAAATAGAAGGGAATCTGCACGTGTGTGGAACTGTGTGTGTTGTCTTGGACCAATGGAAACGGGACCATATCTCATTCAGCAGCTGCATAATGACAGCATGGCCAGGAAACAAGAACAATCGTTATTGTAGTTGAGTGTGTGCGTGTGGGTCTGGGAGGCAGATAATAGCACAGTTGTGTCAACTGTGACAGTGAAGGAGATGACTTCAGCACACTGCACAAAGTGTGATAAGAGCCACAACTCTTTGTATCAGACGGTGATAGGAACTAAAGAGAGACAGAGAGATACAGAGAGAGTGAAAGAAGCCCAACTGGATCAAAGACATCCCTCGCTCCAAGGCGTGTTCGTCCCCGTATCAGGTTCATCAGAGCTGGGCATGGCCAGCTTCTGACTGAGAAGGTGTACAGCAGGCAGTTCCCTGTAAACGGTCGGCACGATTTCCTAATGTGCCAGATGAAACCCACAGAGAGGCCATGCTGCCAAAGTTGGACTCAGCTTTCCAGGAACAGGACAAATCAGAGGAATCACTATCATTTTATCTTACATGTATCAATATGAAAGTTTTATTTTAAAAAAAAGGTCTTTCTAAACTAAAGATGGATGTTTTCATCAGGAAATTTAAATTAATCAATCCTTTTTGTTCCGGATTTTATATCTGAGGCAACAAAGGAAATGTATGAAATATGACTAAAAGTAAAGTGAATGACAAAAACTGACAAAAATGGTGCAATACAGGGTGTGAAAAGAACCTGAGTCACCCAAAAAGACCAAACCCAATGCAATAAAATAACCTACACCCAATGCACAATAGGAACGGGGCTTGCTATGTTTATTTAATGTATGGATGGCAAAATCTCCAAAGCATGGAGGTGATATTTAACTAAACTGAAAACATTATCCTGGAAAAGGCTTTCTACTGGCAGACCATCCAGGGTGTACCCAGCCTCTCATTGAACCCTGCCGCTTATTGAATACTAGGATAGACAGGAACCAGTCCCCCCATAACCCCATTTGGGAATAAGCAGTTCAGAAAATGGATGGATGGAGGCTCTCTGTTTACAGGAGGGTGGCTA